CTGGGCTGAGCGGAGGGTGAGGGCTGGGAGGGGAACCGCAGCCGGATGAGAAAAGCAACGCTGGAAATCCCCGCTAAGGGATGGAACAGCAGGAAGCTGAGGTGTATCTGGAGATGGGTGCCCATCTCTTGGTGGCAACAAGTGCCAGAGAGGACGGCAGAGGGCTGCAGCCTGCTCGCAAGAAAACAGCACAAAGGCAGAAAAAGAACGAGCGTTGGTCAGGACTTCTCAATTCAACGGGGGGTGGTTTTTCCCTCCTCACTGTAAACTGCAAAACCATATGCAGAGTTCAGTAAAAAAATTTATCAGGATCATCACAGGGAATTTTCTGGTCAGGGTTGAAGCCAAGTCCCATGACACCCCAAGCAGCAGAGAACCCTGTGTTTAGGGAAAACTGAAAGGCATTTGGGGTCAACCCTTCTTGGCATGACTTAGAGCCGGAACATTCCCATGGTGTCACCAGAGGCAGCCAATCTCTTTTTCTACACAAAAGGTTGTATTCCCTGTGACGTGTGCCTCTATTGCTAGCTAAGTCACAAAGAGTCCACAAATAATCTAATAAGTAAGAATAACCACCCACCACAGTCAATGCGAAAAGGTGTTTCAGGGGAAATATATTATTGGATACAAATTCCTAAACATTTTCACTACTGCTGTTTTTCCACTCGGCACTGGAAACCTCACAAAACGCTACCCCGATTCCTGGGCACCACGGGGCCCCCGCCTTCTGGAACAAGGTTAGCAAGGCTAGAATGGCTTCTCATGGTTAAAATAGAGAAATTAAGCTAAGGGCAGGTCTCTAGTGTGAACAAAACCCGGGTCATCCTTTGGGTGGATGGATGGTTCAACAGAACTTCAACCAGGTGTCTAATCTCCTTTTTTTTTTTTTCCTCTCTCACATTTCTCTTTTCCCTTTTTGTGGTGTCTGTAACTGGGGAGGTACCGGGCCTGGGCAGTCATCCCAATGTGCTTCCCAGCACATGGATGGGCAGAACACACGCTGCATCTGCCCATCGTGATAAAGTGGCCAGACCTCTATGGTTCATGTGCAGAAGCAAATGAGCCTACTAAATGTCTTAATGCCATCAAAGGGGAGAGACATCTCTCCTCCCACTTCTGCTCTCCTGGCCCTTTACTGTCCCGACCTTCTCTTGAATGAGCTATGGCACTCAATAAAAGCTCCTCCAGAAGAAAATAATCTCTGGTTTTTCTGCTCTATCAGTTTCTGCAGGGCTCTTGAGTGTTATCAGCTCACGGAGGGATTAAGCACCAGAAAATGGAAAGTGGGGGAATACACAGCGAGGAGTAGAGAGGAAAATCCCCAACAGGGGACACAAACCTGCATTACCACTGCTCCACAGCACACGGGATGCTGTGTTCCTGCCGGAGACCCCCTGTATCTTCTGAACAAGCAGAGGCAGTAAACAAGCAGAGGCACTTCATGGATTTTAGGAGCTGTTTCAATTGCGGTTCACCTGTGTTCCTGTGACCACCGCAGCACTGCAGGAAAACTCTAAAGCCTGCCATATTCACAGCTGCCGAACGGCATGGTCTGTCTTGGCTTGTGATGTGCAGCCTGGAAAAGGGGGGGCTGCTCCCCATTTCCCCAGTCAGAGACCCCCATTAGCAGGTACGGCACAGCATCCGCTGCAACGTGCATCTTTTGTAAAGACACGGGAGAGCCCAACATCCCTCCCGTGCCACCAGAAATAACATGTTTGCAGTAAGCCCGCACCCCACGTCCCAGGATCATTGGGGAAACGCGGGTATTTGGCGGCAGAAGCGCAGCCCAGCGCTGCTGGCAGCCCGACCCCAGCGCTCGCATCAGGCAAGGGAAAAGAACAGAAGGCCGAGCACGCCATTTGGGGAGGGTATTTAAATATTAACCGATTACAAGAGCACTGGCAGTGCTTTGATCAGCACACACGAGGAGGACACACTGTACAGCAGGCAGAGTCTCATTTAATCTGAATTACGGAGTCAACATGCTTTTAATTACATCTTCAGCCAGGTACTTGGAGGTTTTTGTGGCCCAAGACTGTGAGGGTTTTTTTTATACCAAGTTTTTACCAACACTTACAGATTTCCTCATCTCCCTGTCACTTCCCTGCCTTTGCTTTTATTATAATTCCAGAAGAAGTAGCAGAGGGAAAAGGTTGTTTGCTTTTTATTTTAAACAGGTATCATCTCTTCTGTAGCATTTGCAATGCAAATGTTTCCACATTTTGCTAGCAGATGAGACTCAGGGTACTAACCGGATAAATCTGTCTACACTGCTCGAACAGATAAACCCAGGAGCTAAGCCCACTTACATTAGGTATCTGTCCACTGCTGACACGGGTTCACAAATAACTACAGAAAGGCAGAAAATTCCATTAAGAGTTATGGCAAAACTCTGTCTAATCTACTGTCAGTAGGAAGCTCAATAACTTGCTGTCGTTTCAGATTATTTATATTGCCATAATCTGTGGTAGCGCCTGCATACCTGCTTCAGGAATTTGTAGCTTCCTTATTGCCCACTGAGGAACACGAATACGGGAGAGGAATGAGCTCAGAACTAACAGCAATGAAAAATACTCAGGTAACAGCTTTTCCTGTGGCTTTCCAAAGTACAGCCGGCAGCGTGCTGCAGCTTAACCCCCTCATGCTGCTGAGGTATACGGTAAAGTATTGGAAAATAAAATACAACCTGCCCAAGAGGGTTTTGCGAAGAGGATAGGAACGAAGGTCACACACAAGGCTAGGAAACCAGTGACCTAACCTCGGCTTTGCAACTGCTTCCTGGGGGCATTGCATCCCCCCTTTCCACCCGCTGGTCCCTCTCTGTAACGGGTGGAGGAGGAGAGCAGAGCGCTGCACCGCTCCCGGGATACGGCCAGGGTAATATTAAAGGCTACGAGGTGCAGAGATGATGAAAAGAAGAAGCAGGCGAGTGATCGCTGAGTTAACCCTGTTCGTGGGCTATTTGTAGAACTCCTAACCCTAAATCAACTTTGTTTTTTTGAAACTGGAATGTGGGATTTTGCCAAGAACATTGGCTGCAGGAGCCACGAGCTGACACTGTCACTGGGACATGGATGGCATAATGTCCTCGAGTGAAACTGTACCCAATGGAAGTCAACGTGCATTTGCCAATGACGCCTTCTCCTTTGCACAGATAACTGTGCAAATAATCACCTCCAGCAGAAATTCCGCTTTTTTCTACAGTGCGCTCTGGTGCTTTTGGCTATAGAATATAATGGCAACAGGCGCTGCGTTAGAGGGTCTTTCCACCTTTCTGGTGCCTTCTCCTGACCAGCCCCTTCAGACATACCCAGTTTCCTTTACTGCTCGATAGCCGCAAGCCCACCAGCAGCCTGCTGAGCAGTGTGGGCAACACTTGTGCTATGATGTTTATTTTCTTCAGCTTCTCCCCAGGAATGATTCCAGCCAAGGACGTCAAACCACTATGCAAAATAGAATTTAAAAGCTTCCCTCTGTGAAGAAGATGTTATCATCCTTACCACTGACAAAGGGAAACCTGATGCACACTGCTGTATTTTTTATAGAAGATACACATTTATATAATATTCATATTTTGCCCCGAGCAACACGAGGCTTTCAGGAGAGCCAGACGTCTCCATCTTTCGGTCACCAAACACGTTTGAATCCAGCACAAAGGAACAGGAGCCTGCAGGCTTCCGAGTTTTGTTTTAAATCACAAGTATCATTACAGGCAACGTGGGCTGACCCCACTGTGGAACGAGGGAGATGAACCACCTAATGAACCGCACACTGGCTCCAGTGCTGGCTTTAAATCATACATCAGACAAGTACGGTCACGAAGCTCTCCTTTACAAAGCCTCTGATACAACAGGATGTCTGACGAACGGCTTTGATCGGTTATTGATCATGACCATTATTCCTGAACTGAAGGACCCACAAAGCGCACAAGATGGCCTTCTCCATGACCCCCTCGTGTAGCAGCACATCTCCCAGTCCTCGAATAAAACTGCACTGCTGCCTCCCCACTCCTGCCCCCAGCATCTGCTTTGAGGACAAGGATCCTGGACAAAATAATAAAATTGAGCATGGATCTGTTCTGCAGAAAACATTTTTCTTTCTCTAGTAACTTGAAGAGAAAAAGCAAAGGTGCAGCACTGAAGGGCTTCTACCACTCAGCTGCATTAACTCTTTTCTCTCTTCCCACACTGCCAAGAGCCAGAAATAAATCTAGATCCTGAAAGATCTATCTGATCTAGATCACCTGGATGGGCTAAGAAGAAACTGCGTGCAAAACGAGGTGCCGAAGTCTAAGAGCTCGCAAACCATGAAGATGAGTCAGGTTGTTAATTCCAGATCAAATTTGCACAGCCACTGGGGAGGTTCCAGCAAGCCTTCAAACTTGGCAGCTTGATCTCTACCATGGCCCAAATCCCAAAACTCACATGCAACAAACACCGAATCCTTGGCTGAACCCCGGGGTCTGAACATCAAGAGATCAGTGCGTCCCCCAAATCCAGACATTGGCTTAAACACCTAAAGATTTAATTAAATAAATAAATAAATAAATCACCAAACCAAACCACCTGAGAGCTTTTAATTGCTTTTTGTTTGAGCTTTGCATTTCTCCATGCTGCACAGTTAGACCTAATGCATTATGACCACTTTGATGTCCAGTGCCAGCACTGAACTATTTACACTGGCAGCAGTGGGTTCCTGATGGGTTTTCAAGACGACACAGGATAAGCGTTGGCTGCACAGACCCAAGGCAGTATAATTAGAGGGAGCTCAGTTAACTCTTGGGTCTGCATTCAGAATCATCTCAATTAATGATTTTTCACCAGCCTGTCCTCCATTCTCTGGCTCTATAATGATACACATACCCCACTGCAAGGAAAGCAGAGGGTGGGAAATGTGTGAAGGGGGACAACGTACAGTGTGGTGCATCACCCCATCTTCTCTTCTCCGGCTACATCCTCTCACAGAGCTAAAACCAAAACAAGTCATTAGTGTCTTACCCCGATAAGACGCCCAGCACCAAGTTGAGCATGAAGAAAGAGCCAATGATGATGAGAGGGATGAAGTAAAGCCAGTTCCAGGTGTTTCCTGCAGCATCATTTGTCTGGAAACAGAAAGGGAGAGAGAAAAAAAAAACAAGTATTAATCAGCCTCAGAAACAAAACACTGCCGAGGAAGCACAGGGCAGAGGGCAGAGGAGATTCCCCTCAGATTTCCATTGGGCTGTCCACCACCGATGTGCTGGTTAGTCCCATTGTGTTCACCAGTTCAAATGCCAGCAAGAGAACTGATGAACCAAACTGGTTGTCCCACTGCCCACCCCACCATTAGTCATCAGCCCCAGTGAGAAGATTCATCTCACACCACAGCTCCGGACTGACCCTGCTGCAGGGCCAAAATACGCTTTAAGTGACCTGTCTCTTTCCAGACTTTCTACACCCGCCTCCTCCCTCCCCCCCTTCAACTCTGACTCCCCACGTGCTGAACATCGGCGTTGTACATCGCTCTGACTTGAGACACGCAGCAGCGGGAGGGAACCACAGCCTTCCCTTACTCCGGGCTGCAATTAAGGCAGAGCGTGGCTCCCTGCCCAGAATCTGCGCATACACTCAGCGCAGGAGAAGACAAGAAGTCTGCAAGAAAACAAGGCATCTTCAGAGTGACTCCAATTCCACGACTGCTTACTCAGCACTTTGGGCTTCTGTCATCAAAACCCGTCTGAGGCTCCCTGAGTAAGCAGCAGTCTGGATTGAGGGGAGGGGAGGGTGGTTTCATTTATGACAAAGTTTCTGCATTCATCAGCCACAAGGGAGCTCTTTAAGGAACTGCTGAAAAGTAAAATGCCACATGGCCATTTGCTGAAACCAAGCGCCGAGAAAAATGCAAATTCTTCTCTCGTGAGTAAAGAATGCGGCAGTTTGAGAAACTAATGTTGGGTGTGAGGGAGGGGAAAAGGGAAGCAAAAAGAAAAGACTCAAAGACATTCTCCTGTTCCTCCTCCCTCCTCCTGCAGAGGGTAAAGGACAACACAAACACAGGGATGACCCAACCGCAGAGGCTGGCAGAGACCGCAGAGAAGCGCTCTCAAACACCAACTTGCACAAAATGCACTAATTGTAACTGATATCGGTGCCCTTTACTTATTATCTGTGGTGCTTTGGGGTCACTACACCCAATCATATTTGCTACCGTAATTTTCCTTGCAGAAGGATTTACAGAAAGAGGAAGGGCTTTAAATGCACCGGTGAAGGTTTCAGCCATGCGGGCGCTTGATGCCACCTCGAAATGTCTCTGCATAAGGAGAAGTGACCCGATAAACAAGCAAACCCAAGGTGTGATGTGGGTGACAGATGTCATAGCATTGCTTACAGGTGACAACACTTATAGCACTGATACAAGTAAATACCTTCTGAGATGTCTTTAATATGGCGCATATCTGTACAAATTCTTCCTTGAGGAACATGCTCCGGCTCAAACACATGACAAGCATTTCTCCAAATAGCAAATGTCTTCAGAAATATCTATGTCAGTTGATCAGTGACTCACCCGAGAGGAACAGGGACTAACTAACCTCACCACAAACCACCCCTGCTAACGGCAAAACCAGCGCGTGACAGACAAAGGAACTGAAAGGATTGAAGAGAACAGGCTGGTAAAATGAGGGCAGAAAGACAGGGAAAATCTGAGCAGCCAAATCTCTCCTTACAATTTTTTAATGCCTTTTGCTATTCCTATCATCCCACCCCAGCCGCACCACATCTTCGTTCACTGTTTTGTCTTTCCATTCCCCTCTGCTTTTAGCTATTTCCTTTCCCTGTTGTCCTTCACTTTGTCTCTACAGATGGGTTTGGAGGAAAGGAGGACACTCGTCCTCAATGTTTCTTCCCCATCGCCTGGGGAAAGTGCCTGGTACGGCCCCAGCCTGTTCTCCTGGGATTACAGCGCAAAACCCATGGGTCTATACTTAGAGGCTGTTCCTCAAGTCTCATTTTGTCGACCGAGGTGGCAAGCCCCCGTGTCTCCGGGTGGAACAAGAGCATCCCATTCAGCAAGGCTGGGGACGGCCGCCAGCCAGGCGCAGGGGGCTGGAGAGCCATCCCGCAAGGAGGATCTGGAGAAGGGAACAGATGGGAGAAGGGAAACCATGTAAACATGCAAAGGGAGTGCAGCAGGTTCAGTGCTGCCAAATGATCGTTTATCATTTATTTATTCATTTGAAGCCCAAACTTGGCGACAGATCCACAATTCCATGCCATGATCAAAGCCCTTAAAAATGAAATGTGCTGAAATACGACTAATTAACCACCCTCCTCCGAGCATTTGCTAGACTACCTTATGCAGGGTAGGGACTCGCTCTGTTTGCTCTGCCTCACGCAGAGGGATCCAGAACAGGCTAGAGAGCAAAACACCCCGCAAAAGGGTCGACCAAAACCTCTCCCAAGAGAGCAGAGCCTTCATGGACGCGCAGCATCATTCCCAGCGGTCCCAAAGAGCACGCTTGAACCCAGTTGTGGGTTATGGCCCCGGCTCCACCATGGTGAGATACTTTAATGAATCCAACCCATTTGCTGCCATGAAAACCGGACTCCTCTCCTCCAGGGAGAGCCCTCAGGGTCCCGCAGGCAGCTCTGGCTGTGCTGGGCAGAGGAGACAGCCCTCCATCTGCCGAACCACCGGGGCTTGGGCCGTGGCCCAGCTCCAGGCTCGCTCATTAAGCAGACGGAGCCAAGAGATCAAATCAATTTTTATGTTCCAGCTAAAACATCTCACCGGTGTAATGCCTGGCTGACTGTCAGTGCTACTTGATCCTAACCACAGGCCTCACCCGACAAGGAAGAAGTAGTAAAATACTTGTCACGATGTGCCAGAACTACATCCAAATACAGTAAGGGCTTACGGGAGGGCTCCCTTGCTGCTCAGGAGCCGAGGTCACCGGGGTCAGTCACAGCCCCAGGGCTCCTCACAAGCACCGCCTGAACCCCCACACCAAGCTGGAGCCTTGCGCCGGGAGCGTCCCGGGCACCGGCGTCGAACAGCTCGTGTCCCTTAAACCTGACTGCACAAGAGTCCCAACGGCGGAGGTGCTGCACAGTGGGAAACTGAGGCACGGGAAGTCTCAGGGACACTTTCAGGGTCCCAGTGGAGGCCCAGAGAACTGCACCTCAGGCACTTACAGCCCACAGGAACTCTCCGGCCCCTGCAGTGCTCTTCCCAGCCAGCCCCTCTGCCTAACCTCCGCTCGGCTCCGACCTGCTTCCACCCCCCGACCTGTGTCAAGATGCATCCACTATGCCAATTCACACCTGGTGCCTCCTTTCCCCTTTATCTGTTTGGCTTTTTTTTTTCCTAAAAAAAAAAGTCTAACCTAAATCCCCAGCAGTGTGACCCTGCTTCAGCATCCACACCAGAGCCTGATGCCACTGCTCAGCAGGAGCACCCAGGTCACATAAGGGTTGTCCTTTGGCATCCTGCTGCGTTGGCTCTCTGCACAGCTGGCTTTAAGCAAGGACGGTCTCCCCCCCCTTTCATGCAGCACCACGCACATTGCCAGGATCCCGGAGCAGTGACAGCACGGCCACCTCTCTCCAGAGGCAGGTGAATGAACACTGTCACCTATAACAAACACAGAAGGTAAAAGGCTTCTGCCACGCAGGGAGATCACTGCCCTGAGCTCCCGATACAGCTAAAGAGGATAGAGTGTCATCCAGCAAAGCACAAGATACTTCCCATGACCAGCCTTATGTGAGTTCTCCGATACCAGAGGAAGGCCAGCATGGACCTGTCGGAGTGGGTCCAGAGGAGGCCACAAAGATGATCAGAGGGCTGGAGCACCTCTGCTGGGAGGACAGGCTGAGAGAGTTGGGGGGGTTCAGCCTGGAGAAGAGAAGGCTCTGGGGAGACCTCAGAGCCCCTTCCAGTATCTGAAGGGCACCCACAAGAAAGACGGGGAGGGACTTTTTACAAGGACATGGTGTGATAGGATGAGGGGGAATGGCTTCAAACTGGAAGAGGGCAGGTTTAGATTAAACATTAGGAAGAAGTTTTTCCGGGGCTTGGAGCAACCTGGGCTGGGGGGAGGTGGCCCTGCCCAGGGCAGGAGGTGGGACTGGGTGGTCTTTAAGGTCCCTTCCAACCCAAACCGTTCCGTGATTAATGCTCTGTCTCTCAGACAAGGAGAGCTGTGAGGCCACTGCTTCATTATGTTAACAAGATGGCACCTGCATCTAATTATTAATTCATTTGAAGATAGGTTTTGAAACAATTGACTTGAAAGCAGGCTACTAGTGCTTGCAATGTGCTGCAGAGACCAAAAATGCATTTATATTACCTTCCATCTCCCCTCCTGCAGCCCTGGCCACGGCCCGTGTCACCGGGGCGGCAGAGCCCTTGTTCCTGGCTGCCCCGAGGTGAGGTTCTCCTGTTGCTGGGGCTTCTTGCTGCCATGAGACCAGCAGCACATCTGCTCCAGCCAGCCCCATCCCATCACCGTGAAATGGTCAGCCAAGCCCTGCCTGCTCCCACATCCCTCTCCCAGCCCGTCCCCATCGCGCCAGCACGGCGCCAGCTCTCGGGGGACCTGCGTGCAGTCAGCCCAGTGCTCCCCGCAGCTGGGGCATCATCGGGACAGCCTCGTGGCCTGATCCCACCCACTGCTGCCTCCCAGCAGGGCTGATCAAAGGGAGCAGGAGCGGGTTTCGGTAGGGGAAGGAGCATGTTACACTTCCTTGGAGCGGTGAGGAGTTACTCGGAAAACTGTGACAGCCCCTGCGGCAAAAAGACGCAGCAGCCCCCAGGGAAGGGAGGGCTGTGCAGTCTCTACCAGGGCCGCTCCATCACAGTTTGCATCAGTGATGAGATCCCGGTTCTGGAATTCCAGAATAACAAACACACAGTTAAGTGAAATTTGGTTTGCGAAGAGGCAAGTGACGGCCTCTGCTCAACGGGTGGAGGTTTCTGCAGATTTACAGACTACAAATTCAGGCAAGTCAAACACAGAATAATCCCCCAAATCCTGCCGCCCCTCTTTTCTCGAAGCGGACAGCCCAGCTGCCCACAACCTCCCACTCTCCTCCGGCTTCTGCAACACAACCTGAATCTATATTC